GGCAAACTTTCAATGTTCTCTGCTAATTGTAACATCTGTGTATCAACCATTCCATTCTTCACCAGTTTGGATTAAGTGGTTATTTTCTTCCCTGTGGATTCTGTTTTCTGTCCTATTTTTCCTGGTCTCTCAACAATTTTCTCTTTTTCCCTAGTCATAGCCTGGAAACTCTTAGCCAACAGCTGTCAGGCTTAGGTAGTTTTTCATGTCTCACAGATTACCATCTTTCACTGTCTGGTGTTAGTGTTCTTGAAAACCAGTCTTTGAGTATTTTGTCTCTGTGTGTAGGGGGATATCAGTCATGGCTGAAAACAGAAGTCCTAACATCTCCACATTTTATATACATGAGTCACAGTTGGAAAACCTTGCCCCACGACAAGGTTGTGGAGTCTTTTTTTTTTTTTTTTCTTTTTTGGCGGAACCGGGGATTGAACTCAGACCCTTGTGCTTGCAAGGCAATTGCTTATTCTACTGAGCTATCTCCCCGGCCCCTCTCAGTTTATTTCTGTATGGTTGGACTTTTCATATTTAGATCACTGATCCAGGTGGAGTTGATTCTTCTGTGGTATAAGGTCTGGGTGCAGTTTTGAAGCCATTTAGGTGTTTATTGCTTGCTCTTGCACCATTGGTTGTAGCTTTGCCCTACAACAATGACAGGAGGCAGCAGACATAAAGAGGATAGGTTTCTTTTACTTGCAGTTTAGGAAGTTCAAGGTTTTGATGCTGACAACAGCTTTGTTCCTGACTGTATCACATCATGGTAGTGGTCATATGTGTGAGAGCTTGTATCACAGAACAAGAAGTTAGAGGCACTGGTGTTTCACATGCCTTTCTACTTTTTTGTCTTTTTACTGTTATATAAGGAAAGCTATTGGTTTGTGTGTTGATTTCAGATACTCTGACCTTGTAATTGTTTTGTTGAGTTAGTTTCGTCATCCTTTTTCTGAGTTTTTATATCATCAGCAAATAGAAATAGGTTTTCGATTGTATTCCTCTTTTCTAATTGAAGATGATGTGCATTTTAATTGTCCTGATTTTAGTGGGAATATGTATAGTGTTTCACCATTTCCTGACTTCAGAACTGAGAGGGCTGAGGTGTAAGTATGCGTGTGTGTGTGCATGCATATGTGTAAATATAAACTTAGCAACATGGATATACATGCTTGCCAGTGAGTGACATATACATGTGTATCACATATACAGGTACATAGATGTCATATGTACTGGGCATATTAAAGTGTCAAAATACATGAATGTATGTATGTATGTATGTGTGTATGTATGTATTGATGTTATTGAAGTATCCAGTTTCTGCTTCCTTGAGTTCCTTCAAAAATCAGGTTTGCAAGGCCAGGAATCTAGCATAATACTAGAGTTCCTAGATAGCATGTACAAAGTACTAATTTAATCCTCAGTATAATGAAAAGGAAAGAAGAAAATAAAAAGGAAAAATCAGATATACATTTTTAATATTGTCAGACTTTTTCAAGTGCGTTTGGAAAATACAAATGTTTTCTTATCTATGTGATAGTGGTATGTTGTATTTTCGGCTTTCCACACATTAATCTATAGTCTTAGCTTCTATTTGGTCATTATGCATTCTATTTTTAGTCTAGTATTGGGTTCTATTTGCTAGTATTTTATTTGGGCTGCTTAAGTATTGGCATGTGATTTTCCATGATTTATTGGTCAGTCAGTTTTCTAAACCCTATAACACCACACCCCTCCAACAGCCCTGTCTTGGGGGGTCCCTTCACCCAGGTTCTTCCTTTCTGTGGATGAGTTTGTCAGCTCATTTCTGGCCTGCAGGTGGTCGCGCCTATTCTGGTCAAGGAAGCAGCTGTACCTTTGTTGTCTCAAGCACTCTTACATGGGTGGTACCACCATCCCCCTGCCTCCATCCTCTTCTTTCTCTGGATCTCATTCTCTATGCACACCCCTGACTCCCCACCAACTAAGGGGTATCGGGGGAGGTGTTTATTTAGGAGTTTCTTTGTGTATTTGTCCCTTTCCTCCCAAGTGACTAACACTGGGTGGCTCAAGGCTGCATGGGTGCCAACAGTGTTTCCTAGACCTCCCTTCCCACTGGATCAGGTCCTGTGGCATAGAGGAGTTAAAAATCAGACTTGTCCTTGTGTGCATCCTTCTTCATGTCTGGTGACTAGTCCCATTCCTTTTCTGGCCAGAAGACAGATGTGGGAGGCTGGGCTCATCTTTGGGACCTAAGTCAAACCAATGACCTTCTTCCTCCCCTCTCACTTTTCTTTTTGTTCTTCTTTGTCCTCTTCTCTCTCTTCCCCCTATTCTTCTCCCTTCTCCCCTCACCCCAAAGAGGACCAAAGCAGGAAGTAGGGCACCTGTCATTCCCTCTTCCATTACCTATAGACTCTTCCTCTGATAGATGCCTTCTCCCATAGAGTGGGGGGATATGAGCTTGTGCATCAGTCAGTATTTTACTAGAGAAACAGACATAACCCAAGATATACAAATGTATAAGAATTAACAAGATTGACGTATCATGGTCACTTACAGAGTTGGATTAAGAAGTGTACAGAGGGCATCTGGACACTGAAGCCTGAAGAATTCAGTCCAAGATCTGGAGTTTGCTGCAGTGTCCTGTGCAAGTCCATATCAGGAGGCCTATGGGTCTGTGATGGAAGGCTGAAGTCTATACCAGAAGGCTGAAGGATCTGCCAGAAGCTAAAGAATCTGCACTGGAAACAGGAGATGATGTCCAAGGTGAAGGTGAAAACTGAAGCTCTTCTGAAGAAACAAAAGATGATCCGTCCTTCTTCATTTCCCCTTACACCATCCAGGTAACAACCTGCCCTAGGGTGAGTCTTCTACACCGTAGGCTATAGAATTGCTGACCAATTTAGTTAAGCTTCTCTTAACTAAACCTCTCAAGTTGAACAATCACTGAGCCATCACTGCATGAGCCACCTCTCCCTGTTCATTTTTGGATCTCATCTTCTAACCCCCTTGTTGATGTGCATGTTTTCCCTCCATTGACCACTCTTGTCCCACCCCCGTCCTTTTCCACTCCCATCCCTGACTTCCCAGTTCTCTCCTTTTTCCTCCTGTAGCCCTTTTTCCTTACTGTTTACCTTCTCAGACCTCATGTGTCTTCAGTTCCTCCACTGACAGTCCTAGGATTTGACCATCCACACCACCTAGGCCATGTCTACTTCGAGAGCTAGTCTGAAGACTGGAAGAAGGTTGACAAATGGTCATGAGCTCTCCAGGTGCCGTCTTCCACTCTACAAGATACATATTTTGTTCTGTCCATGCTCAACTTTCTGCTAGGCTGGGCTTATATACATGCCTGCTGAGGGCTCCCAGAGTGATGAGATTCCAGGTGGGGTCACTGTGCCGAGCACTTTCCAGTCTGTTTAGGGAAGGCTTGCTTGACATTGAGGTCAGGCATGAGGAAATAATGATGGGGGTATGCTCTGAGGAATTGGTCATCTGCTGAAATTGTCCTTGTGCAAATAACCTGCAGTGAACTCTTCACCCAATTGTAAGAGCTAGGAAATCAGTAGGCAATGCCATGTCATAGAACCACCATTGTATATGTGGTATCTTGTTAAAGTGTCCTATGTGGCACAGGACTGTACATTTACTGTGTTGTGCAGCCATACACAGTGCTCTATGAGGCACTAACAGTCACATCCTGCTTTCTATCTCTTATCTTTCTACGTTCATCACTTATTCTGCTTGCCTTCCCTCCCTTTCTCTTTGCTTTATACACTTTGTCAGACTTTAAGCTTATTCCACATTTCAGCCCTTCTTATACCCTAGACCTTGATTCCCTTACTTTTCTAACCCTACTTACATCTCCTCTGTCTGCCTGCTTTATAGCCTTGTTTCCTTCTGACTCAGGAGTTAGTTCTAGTTGCTCTTCTCCTCAGCTGCTGCCCTCTTCTCTGATGCTGCCATGTCCCAAGATGCTTCTCTGCAGCCATTTGGTATCCATGCTGTGAGCCCTTTCCTCTCCACCCCCATCTCTTTGACAGTTTGTGTTCTGATCATTTCCTCTTGCTCAGAAATTGCTCCTGTATCCTTATTTCTTTCCAGTTGTAAACATTGTTCTAGATTTTCCACCTATTGTGTAAAGTAGGACTTATAGGTTATGAGAAAACCTCCCATATACCCTGGAATAGCAAAGGGAGGCTCCACTTTGCCTGTGTGTTCCTACCTTTATGTGGCTGTTCCCAGGCAGTGGCTCTTTACTGAGACGCCGTTACTATATTTGGGATCGTGGGTGATTACCTAGTTGACAACAGAATTTACTTACTTCCTCTCCATCTTACTGTCTTTTCTACTTCAGTCTTGTCCCCTTCTTTCTGCCTGATAAGTCTAGGTTATGATCTGTCTTTTGTATTGTTTGGGGGTTTTGTTTTGCCTATGTGAAAAATAATTGAGGATTCTTTTTCAGAGTAAAGAAGTTTGATCAAATTGCCATAGCCTCTTTTTTTTTTTTTTTTTTTTTTTTATTTTATTTATTTGAGAGACAGAGAGAGAGAGACAGAGAGTGTGGTGTGTGTGTGTGGCCAGCTCAGCCCACCAGGGGGCGGGGCTGGCTGGCATGTGGTGCTGGGGGATTGAACCGCGGTCCCTGATGCTTTGCCAAGCTTGTTCTAAGTAGGTGCTTTAGACCACTGAGCCATCTCTCCAGCCCCTGCCATAGCCTCTTGAGGGGGAAAATATCACATCTGATGGCAAATAAGCAATTCTGACATGCAAGAACGTGAGAAGACAGTACATCTGCATTTTATTTTCCTGAGATGCATGGCCTTATCTTCAATCCCGAATCAGACACACCAATCAAGCTGAATTCAAGACACAGGTCCGCATTCACAAGTCAGTAATGAAGAACAGACATCCAGTGAACAATTCTGTTTACAAGTTAGAGGATAACAACACCTAGCTATAAGTATAATGGATCTATAAGTACAATAGATAAAAAAGCCAAAAAAAAAAAAAGTCTTTTTTCTTTGGAGGAACCGGGGATTGAACTCGGGCCCTTGTGCTTTATTCCATTGAGCCATCTCTTCAGCCCCTCAAAAAAAAAAAAAAAAAAAAAATCTGAAAAGAGGATATATATGTATCACTTGAAATATCCAACACATTAAAGCACCTGCAAGCAGATGCAGGGGCCGGGGGTTCCATCCCCGGTCCTGCTGTGCTGGCCCTGCCCCTGCGGTACACTGGTGATTGAGACTGGATGTGGTGGCACGCGCCTGTAATCCCAGCACTTGGGAGGCTGATTACTATGAGTCTGATCTAGTAGTGAGACTCTGTATACCCTGTGGACCCTTCCCTAAAATACAAAAAAAAAAAAAAAAAAGAAATATCTAATACTGAGCATTATAAGAACAGTATTGTAATATAGAATATAAACACCTATCATATCACAGAACTACAGTATAATACAGAATAATATTTCTATGCCAAACATGTTCAAAATCAGTAAAATTTGTACTGTGTATTAAAGCAAACTATGACACTGCTCTGACCTTTACATTAAACTTTAAGAATAATTTAAAGGATCAGGAAACCCAACCTGACCCTCTACAGATCCAAATATATCAAAAACCATTGTTATGGTTTGCATTTAGGTGTCCCCTCCACACCCCCAAAGCTTTATGCATTTAGAAGTGGGGCTTTTCAGAGGCAGTGGATCTAGGGTGTGTGAATATGGATTAAGGAAGTGATAACTCAGAGTCTACTGAATGGGTTAGCACTATTCTGCCTGTGGGCAATAGGAAGCTACACCCTGGCTGTGGGCAGCACGAGTTAATAGGCTTGAAGCATAAGCGGACAGAAAGAAACTAGGGTTGCTGCCGCTGCCTCCTGCCTCCTGCCTGCTCTGTCATGGGCTCTTTCTCTGCAGTGCCCCTGTGCCATGGTGCCCTGCCTTGGAACCAGCTGACTGTGGACTGAAACTTCTGTAAAGTATGAGTCAAAATAAGTCTTTCCTCCTTCAACTTCTGGGTGTTGGGTATTCTGTCCCAGCGACAAAAAGTAAGACAATCATACCTCCAACTTCCACCTCAACAGCAATTGGAATTAGGAATGTAAAATTTAGAACATGACCCCCAAAACTCTTATTGCTCATTGTCCCTCTGTGGATTCCCCAGCTCTAGGAAGAAGCACGATGCACTGATTATCTTTGGGTTCTTCTGGAAAAGTCTGGATTCTTCTAGATTACCCAAACAAGGGGTTTCTCTAATCCCTCCCTAGGCCATGGTTAGTGTCAGCATGGTCTTTAAATAGCTCATCTTCCCCAGGCTCAGAGATCTCTAAGTGGGGGAGAGAGACCATGTCAGACTTTATGTGGTCAGTTTTCTAGATGAAAAGATTTACACATTAAGTCATTCCCAACTATAGTTTCAGTTAATTTATAAATCCAACTTTATCTCTAATCCTCCATTCTTAACCCCAATTCCAAGCTCTCCTTTCCAGTTGTGGTTCAGAATTTTTGTATAGCATTCCAAAAATCACTAAAGATGCTTTAGGTTAGACTCAGCTTCCTGCTTTAAAATGAGGAATTGGGGTGATTATACTTGGAGACTAGAGCACCACCCTTGGAGAAGATGCTGTGGGTTTTTTTGTGTTTTTTCTCAGAACCAGGGATTGAACTCAGGCCCTTGTGCTTGCCAGGCAAGTGCTTATTCAACTGAGCCATCTCCCCAGCCCCAAGACGCTGTGTTTTGTGTGTGTCCCTCACACCTGCGCTTGGTACCACACTATAAACATAATAAATCTGTCAGCACATCATGACCATGAAACCACTCACTTAATCCCTAATCCCATTGCCTATGTCACCAACATGCTTTCTCCTAAGCTGGCTAATGGCATAAAATTGAAATGTTTGCCTACTCATCTGTGCAAACCCATACTGTAATGTGTTAATGGCAAGGCGCTACCCTGGACCTCATATTTATTAATCTGCCATCACTTTGACAAATACCTATGGCCCATAAATTTCAAAATGGATAATTATTCAATTATTAGAGGAGAAATTCTTCCAGAAGGAGTGGCACAGGGGACAGGAGATCTCTGCAGGTCCACTTAGGCCATAAGCACTGTGGATATGAACTCGGAGGAACACATAGGCTAATTTTTTCATTTCTGAATATGTAGCCTCTTCCATCTTAGTACAACATTTACTTCAATGTAAATAAGTTCTAAATGATATCCCTAAGGAATTACAGCCCCTTGATAAATGACAGACAGTAAAAAAACAAATTGTAGAAGGAGAAATAGAAGTCTAGTGGGTATTCACTAGGGACACAAATCAGCATTTAACCCAATTTGTTCTGAACTAAATAATCCATGCCAAATTTCTGTCTCTTAAAAAAAAAAAATTCTGTCTCTGAGACCATTTTCTTTTTGGTGAAGTCTGACTGTACAGTGTTCCAGTACTCAGGACATCTCTCCAAGATGGTGGTGTCACACCTTGTATTGTCTGCCTGTTGTGTTGGTTGGCTACGGAGAGCTAGAGAGAGGCCAGCTTTGGGCCTGGGTGGGTTCCTGATTGTAGATGGTAGATGGGGTGGGGGATCATGAGAGGACCCTCCCTGCATTCCCTATATACGCAGCAGCAGTGCTGTCTGAACCCTGGGATACTCACCTTCTTGGGGCCACTGTCCTCAGGGCTTGAGG